TGTCTCGATTTTACTCATGATTTAGAGGCACAGTCAAAAATTGTATTACCCTCCTCCCATCTTTACTACAAATTCGTACATAAGCTGAACCATCATCAACTACCTTTATTTCTATCTGAGTTGCAATAATATATGGTTGTCCCAAAATAAGAGGATAAGATGTTGTATCTTGAATAAAAAAATTCTACTCCATTACAACATCACTAATCCAAATTTTCACATCCAAGCAAGCACCATATAACTCCCTTCGTGTATTATTGACTGCTCGTATTACTCATCCATGCTCTATGTCAATTGGCCACCTTTGTTTCATATAAAGATCTTTAGACATAAGGTTTATCTATGAACCATGGTCAATCAAAGCAACAATTGGTTCATTCATATCTCCAATCTTCACTAATGCCTCTCTAGTTGCTCTAGTCCAATGCTTCCGAGTATAATGACTTGAAACCTCTCTATCTTTATTACCTTGATCATCAAAATGTATCCTTTGATTATGACTCCTTCATTCACTTGCTGATTGTTTGTAACAATTATCAAATACATCTTCTTGACCTTTATAAATGTGTACATCAATAGCATGATTTAATCCAGTTTCTTCCATTAATTCCCTCTTTCATTTAATACTGTCAATAATGATATCATGGAATTCTTTCTTGGTAATTCCTAAAATTTCTTTCAATAGAAACTCAACCTTAGCATTGAGCACACGTTCCTCAAGCACTCCCTTTAAATCTGTTGTCGCTTCAATATCAAAGAATAATTTATAAGTTATCAATTTACCTTTATCTTTCATTTCCTTTGTTTTTTCTTTCGATATTGTTGAAGTATCATTTGTGGGAAATTCTTGTGAAGTCGATGCACAAGCCTTATTTCCTCGAGTTTGTCTCTTAGAAGAATTTTCTTTTCTTGAATCATCAAAATTTCTTCTCTTCTTTTCTTCCATTAAAGCTTCATATTGGCTTTTAGCAACATATGCATGTACTGACAAAGTTTCTACATGATCCTATGAACCCGTAGTACCACGAATTGTTGCAACAATTCTCAATAAAGCTTCTCGTGGCATCTTCTCTTTTTGCATTGTAGAAATGGCAAAAGATCAAAGTTCACTTAGTTGAATATTTCCAACAAAATTTTGTCTGCTATCATTATCCACCTTAGTTCTATAATTAGTAGCTTCTATTATTATAATTCTATATATTGCCAAATAATCTTTAACCAATGCTTTGATGTCTCCTTTACTAAAGTTGGTTTGGAGAAGATCACCAGGATCTTTCAATGCAACCTTCTCATCTTTCCAATAAACAATGCCTTATTATACCATTTCATCAAATTCACCACAATCTTTTTGAGAATGAGAATCATCATCACACCAAATATATCTTTGCACATACTTTTGTTTAAAAGTAGCCTTTGAACTTATTGTAGAAGTCTTTTCTTCAAGCTTTGCAAGTTTTATTTGAAGATCTTGCATCCCTTGTACAATCTCCTCAAGTCACATATCTTCTTTCTTTGGTGTAGTCAATGGAGGTTGGACAATAGGCACAATCAATCTTGTAGTAGGCATTGGGGTCTATGGTACTTGTACCACTCTTCAAGTACGAAACCTATCCTTTTTTCTTTCTTTTTTTGTAAGTAATCCAATAGCATCTTCAACAGCTCTCTACTTTGTTGTCAATCCTTCTTCTTCTTTATCTTCAAGAAGAGCTTCTAACTTCTCTTATGATTCTTCATGAGCAGCTTAAAGAAACAATTCAACCTTCTTTGGTCCCAATGTTAACTTTTCTATTTTCGATAATCAAAAAAATTGCCTTTCAAATTCTCTTAATAATTTTATAACTTGCAAATTTTTGTTAGATCGCTCAATCCATTCCAAGAATGATTTCTTAGTAACTCGATCACTATCCTCCAAAAAATACTCATCCTTCAATGCATATCAACTATATCAACCATATCAACCACTTACTTCTTCTATCTTGATTTTATCAATTTATGGTCTTTCTCAGGTAGTAGAAGAGTCTCTACAACTTAGAAGGTAAAATTACTAACTAACCTTCAACCTACTAATTATTAAGATAATAAAATAATTTGAGAGGCTTTTATGAAAGCCATGTTTAGATATCTTAAATCATAATTAAATTAAAATAATTAGATATTAATTAGAAATTTATTTTTAATTATAATTTTACTATATAGTCGTATTACATCATGAAATCGTGTCAAAGAAAGAATAAAAAGATATAAATAAAGAAATACATATATTAAAAAGAAACTGGAATAGCTTATTGCCAAAAGACAAGGAAACTTGAGACTCTTGAAACTAGACTAGAAGTAAGAAAAGAGTTGACATGAGTGAAGAGGGCTTCTTTCTTCTCTCTATATATACTATCTAATTAGGGGCTACATGATGATGTTCTATAGGACCTCCAATATGTGTTGACTTCGTAGGTCACATGCCTTGACTTACAAGGCAAGTTTTTTTACGTGTGGGCCACGTAGTTAGCTTGGTCTTTAAACTAACAACATGTATGGCACATGGCCAATTTATTGACCACGTTTTTAAACCATAATATCAATTATAGACACCTGTAAAGTCAAAGCATTGTCTATGAAGCTTCTAAGAAGCTTATAAGAAGCTTCTATAGAAGATATTATAGAATTAACTTACTTTTATCTACTTCTACTTACTTAGACATATTTATATAGGTAATTACTAGCTTAGAGGTATATGTCTGTGATAATAAAAGACTTGATAACTTGGCAGCGATAAATGCTACAGTTGAATTAGCCATTTAGATGTTACGTGGACATGGGTTATAATTGGAAATGGCATTGAAGCCTTCAAATCCAATAAGATTAATAGATATATGTTTTGCATATTTAAATGAATGTATATTTAAATGAATGCATATTAATATCATTTTTTTATTTTATTTTATTTTCTTCATTATTTTTATTTTTTACATTCTTTTGTAATGGTGTTTTTATACATCAATAATTTGTTATTTATATTAAATTGTTTTATATTATTTTCTTTGATTACGTGATATTTATTAATAATATCAATTTTTTTAATATGTAGTAAATTAAAATAATTAAATTTATTAAAATCAAAATAATTGTTCATACTTTATAATAACTATACTGATTATTAAATATATATATATATATATTATCTTAAATTATATGGTGTTTTATACAATTATTTACAATTCTAAGTTGATATTTGTAATATTTGTATATTTTGATATGAACGCTTTTGACAAACATAAAATAAGATAAGAAGCATGTATTTTTTAAAATTAAAATTAAAATCAAATTCTTAACATATATTAAAATTATTATTTTTTATATTTATAAGATGCATAGTTGAAATAGTCAAAGGTTGTATAATTGAATCTTAAAACCACTTAAAATTGAATTTAAAACCATTTCATTAATATATATATATATATATATATATATATATATATATATATAAATAAAAAATAAAAGAAAAAAGAAAAAAGAAAAAAGAAATCACATACACTTACTATTGGCTCTTAAAAAAATACTATTATATGGTATTTAACAACAAGACTATAAATTTTAGGATTTTTTCACAATTTCATGTTGAGCATATGTAATCATAATCTAGTTTATATCTATTTGATAATAGAGTTAAATATTTACAAAAATAATAGACCACATTAGTCTTTAATAATTTATAGATGATACAAATATTAATGTAGTATATTTTTAAATTGTTTCTATTTTTATTTTTTATGTATAACTGTAAAAAAAAATAAACATTTAAATCTTCTAAAAAGAAACAAAACACATTTATTTCAAGTAACATTTTAATTATTGATGTTGTAGTAGATCTTAGAATTGCCACACTTCTTTCAAAATTTAATCCATGGATTTTCTTCAAGTAAAGCCTCATTATTAGATAGAATATAATTTTTAGTTTATGTTACAAAATTCAAATATAATAAGAAATAAAAATCATAGATCACACAAAAAAAAATCTTTGGTCTAATGTTAAAATTATTCTTTGACCTATTTATATAAAGATAAGAAATTAGAAATTAATTTTATAATATATTTAATCAAAGTAGATAGAACATTACTTAAAAGTTTACAAAGTGCATAGCATTTAATGACCTTTAAATGAAGAGATAATATTAATTTTTTTTTAATACTTTTAACATTAAAGGTTTTAGACAAAGGTTAGAACAACAAAAAAAAGTAAAAATTTTAAATTTTAAAAATACTAATATAACTTATTTAGCATTCTAGATTCATTATTAATGGATGGAGGAAATATAAAAATGCAAATAGCAAAGTTTATTATTAGATGGGAAATTATAAGATCTAGATACAAAATAATACATTATAGTTTGATGAAGCAATATAGAATGACAAAAAAACTAAATGATTGGTTTAATTTGGTCTAATAAAATATGGCCAAATCACATAATAAGTGACATTGACTTAAGTCAAGAAACCTTTGGAATAACACAATATATTTCTAAAGAGATGGAACAAATCTTATAGGCCAAAAGAACATAAAGAGTTAAAACAATTTGTTAATTAGATGGAACAATAAAATAACATATAATAGGCCTCATTATTTACACACCAAATTTTGAATAATAGAAGGTATAATAAGATCCTATTTCCTTTACTATTCATTATATCATATCTTACTTCAAAATATATCTCTTCAAAAGAGATATTAAGACATAGGAGTATTTTTAACCCTTCCAATTGCAAGGTGATCTTTTCATAAGAAGCACAATAATCAATTATGTAACAAATTAGATATTTCAAAAATAAAACACATACAAAAGTCAACACTGTAAAAGGTACTGACAAAACATATGCTTTATTCAAATTGTAACACACACGTTCTTTGGTTTATGTTTGTGTTTATTCATTTATTTTTTCCATTGCAAGCAATCTATGAAATAATCTTAGCAACAACAATCAGTGAAATAAATCGAAATCCCACAATATTAAAGAGAAACAAAGTTGCATATTACATTCATTCTTGTGTAGTGAATTACATGACTGAGACTGATGAAATCTTGTCCCATTCCAAGCATCTCATCTGATCCTCTACGTTGCAAGTCGCATGAAATTGAGGTATCATCATCGAACTGTTTTGTAATTCATGACGATACTCCTCAGATTTCATTCGACAAAATATTGCTTTTAGACAGAAGGTTGGAATGAATGATCTCACAAATCACAAAATTGTACATGAACGATCATTCACATCTATATGCTACAAAATCCATAATGGTATAGCTAAAACTATACCATAATATATATATATATATATATATATATATATATATATCATACCTGCAGAACGTGCATGCTGATCGATACACACGAACATCTTCGACGATTGATATGTTAACAAAGTGGAGATCAGAGAGAAGTTGAAGGGAATTTGTCTAAAGCTCCCATGTAGAAGAGCAACATCTGCTTGACGACCCACTCGTAATCCGTTGGCTGTTTCAGTGTGGCAAGTCCGTGTTCCACAAGCTGCTCCGGCACCCAGAGCTTCTCCCGATCATACTCCAGCAGCTTTTCCAACACATAAATGTTGTGGGAGTAGTCAGGGTGTCTGCAACACACCAACCACCAACATGCATTGTAGTCAACTCGAAGCCCAACTACAAGCAGAGACACTAGAAGACTATGGTTTTTCAAAACCTAATTTGCAACCTCAGCAGCAGCGAAGTTTGTCCATGCTATCTGACTGCTTGAGTTTGCCTACATTGCAAAAGATCCATCTATATTAATCTCCAGTGATGATAGAAGTGTGGTTGATAGAAGTGCGAGTGTGTAAATAGCATAAGGATGGTGACTTACCCACAGAATGTTAGATATTGTTGCTTTTTGTACTGCAAATCAAGCAGAGCACAAATTGTTAGCACCAGCGTAGGCCTGAGTCCTAATCAGCGAAACCCCTGTCGGATAAGAATGAGAAGAAAAGAGAACTGATGTAACTAGGGTGGATTGCAGATGTCAAGTTGTTGATGAAATTCCAGCCCCAGAAGACGAGTGCGAAGAAAAGACCACTCACAATGGATTGAAACTCTGTGACGTTATTGGTGGCCAAATTGAGGAAGCCGGGTGGTAGTTGCAAAATGGCGTCGTTGTGGTGGTAATGGAGCAGGAACTCTTTCAATCTGGGAAAGAAGACCTGCTCTCCATCTTCCGTTACTCGTGCTTTTCTCACAGACACCTCCGAACCCTACAGGAACAAAAGTATTCATGAGAAGGAAACCAATGGACAAGGAAAAGCACATAATGCTGTTACTGCAGCACACGTTGAATTTGATATCGTAGTGGTTGCGGCGAATCAAACAGGTTATGGCACCATAAACAAACACCTTCGGATTGCGACCTACGTGACCGCCCAGAGCTTGCGCAATAGCTTGGTGACCAAAGCTTATCCCTACCGTCTTCACTTTCTTCTTGTCCAATTCACGAATTTCCTGCATCAAACGGCCAAATCGAGGTCGTCCAAAGGAATTTCTCAATTTAACGACGACAAATCTAATAATCAGAACTCTCTTCAATCCGACATTGGATCACCGTAGCCACATCATCTTTGCATCCAATACCATGAATTGCAAACAAGAAAAGGAGTACCTCGACGAGTGTCTCACATTTAACAAGCGCTGAATCCAAGCACCGCCATCATAGACTCCGCTGAGCGAACCAGTGATCAACACACCGTCAAAATCCGCTAGATCTTTGGGGTATTCTTCGGCCTTGACGTCGAACCCTAGCACAGATGATCCCACCCGGGATCAGTGCAAAATTTCAGAATGCAAGCTCGTTCCACTCAAATTACAAAACTCCAACCAGGAAAACAAATTATAGAATCAAAACACAGCAACTGCGAAAAGGAACACGCGTATCAACCTGTGAACGAAAGAGAGGGCGGCACGGTTATTTGTGGGTGCAAAATTGTGGACGCATTGGCCAAGACATGGTTGAAAGCTTTCTGCAACAATTGCAAGTAGCCTCCGGTGCTGGCGTACACGGCCGGCGCCAAATGATCCTGCAAGCGCTCACATTCCAACACAGCCAGCTGCATCACCCTCCTCCCCATGTCTCCACAAAAATCTCACAACCTCCACACACCCACAACAAAATCCAGCCCTCCTACTTTCTCTTGTTGCCAGACCGTCTCTCTTTTGCAACTCTGTCAAATGCAGCTTGTCAGAAATGCAAGTTCGCAATCCACCCCAAATCCCAAAAATCCAACGAAAAAACAAAAACCCACATCGGATTGTTGTGAAGCAGCATGCAGAATCCGATGTTGGAGATTTCAATGCCAAGGAATTTGATGAGCAGATTCAGGTGAGCATGCCGAAGTCATCAGAAAACGACAAATATTGAAGCTGGAAACCGAATCTGAGAAGAGTCCGTTGAAGAGGATTCTGTGAGCTTTTTTCCCAGCTTGACCATCAAAATGGTGATTTAATGTTCTTATTTGTGATGGGGCAAAATCAGGGATGGTGATGAGGTGGGGTGCTGTTCCGGATCATTGTCTCTCCTGAAGAAAACTTGTGGGAAGTGCATGAAACATGAGTGCCCAAAACTCAGTCTTTATGGGTTAGTTCAACACCATTCATGACAATCATAGGATTAATTAGCAAGATAATCACTGGTTGTGAGCTAATTAGGAGGATGGAATGGAGTAAAACTTTACACTAGATGACAAATGGAGAAAATATTATAAATACACCTAAAATTTGTCAAAATATCAAATCTATTCCTCTTTTTTTTTTTTTTTTTTTTTTTTTTGTGATGATTGCATATTTGTCCCTTCAACATGATACATAAGCTATAACATTCTTGTTTTTTTCCAAGACTTTGGCATTTTCTATAGTAATGGTATATTCATCAAGAACTACATGTGTTCTTACTACATGCAACAATACTACATGACAACAACACTACATGATAACAACACTAGATGCAACATTCTTGAAAATAGTAATTATTTGTAAGGAATCCAAAAAAAAAAAGAATGACAAATTCAACATGGTCCATGAAGATATATATTTTGCTCCACTATTGCCTTTATATATACTATCTAACTAAGAGCTATGTGGCAACATTCTATAGAACCTCCAACACATGTCCAATTTATAAGACACTTGTCTTAATTTGTAAAGCAAATTTTTTATATGTATACTATATAGTTAGCTTGTATCATAAGTTAATAACGCGTGCAACATGTGACCAACTTGTTAGCTAAGCTTTTAACCTATCAATCAATTAAAAACATGTGTATAGTCAAAATTGCATCTACAAAGCTTTTCTACAAAATATTATCAAATTAACTTATTTTTATCTACTTCTCTCTATTTATATTATTTAGATAATTATTAGAATTAATATATATATTTGTGACATCATTTCCCTCTTTCTCCCCTTTTTAGAAACAAACTCCATAAAAAGTGGTGATCACATATTCCTAAAGTCTAAGATGCAACAAATTGTGTTTACCACATACTTTAATCTTTATTCTCTTTGAAGGTAGTTAATAGGGCCTCTCAACCATGGATAATGTTCCATTCAAGGGTGAGAAGACCACCTAGATATTTGATCCCTATTGAGGCCTATATAAATTTCTTCAAATAATACATTTATAACATTATTAGGAGTTGTTCCTACCTCCACTAAATCACCAAACATCAAGATTTTCTTTTAAGATTGTGATACCAAACGCATTGTATCTTGCTATCTATTCAAAAGAATATATATATATATATATATATATATATATATGTGTCGTTCTTGATAATCTTCATTTCTATTAGATCATCTTAAAAGCTATAACAATTACAATATCTTGTCCAATAAGTCGGCAAAAGATAGCTCTTGAATTGAATTTGTTGATTGTTGGTTCTCCATCTCCTTAGTATCACAAATATACATAAATTACAACAAAGATAGAATATCGAATGCAATCTTCTTTAGATCTTGTTTCTTTTATTACAAAGATTTATTATCTTTTATCTTGATTTTGATGGATGTCTTTGATGAAAAGCATCAACCTCTTTTATCACATTTGTAAGATTCTTGACTAACTCTTATATGCATTCACTAATATCATATCTATGCCAATAAACAAGATATTCCAACTTATTTTAGCACTACCTAGAATCTAAAATTTCTTCCACTTCAAACTTTTGATTATTATCTATTTTTATAAAAAATAATAATATTTATCTTTTTCTCAAAATATTCACTATTTTATATAATTTAAGATGACACAAATAGAATATGTGATGGATCTTCATAGACTCTAGTAGATGTAATTTATACGCAATTAGACTGATTAATTCATAAATAAAAAAATGGTCCAAGCCTACAGTAATGTCATGAATATACACATATAAAGTAGTAATTATCTGTATAAATAGGTAGAAGTAAGTAGAAGTAGGTGAAAGTTAGTTAATTCTATAATATCTTCTATAGAAGCTTACTACAAACTTCATAGGTGCTGCTTTGATTTTATAGGAGTCTATAATTGACTTTATGGTTTAAAAACGTGGTAAATAAGTTGGCCATGTGCCACACATATTATTAACTTGAAGACCAAGCTAACTATGTGGCCCACACGTAGAAAAACTTGCCTTGTAAGTCAAGGCATGTGTCTTACAAAGTCAATACATACAGGAAGTCCTAAAGAACATCACCACCTAGCCCCTAGTTAGATAGTATATATAGAGAGATGAGTGAAGCCATCTTCACTATTATCAATTCTTTCATTACTTTCAGTCTAGTTTCAAGAGTCTCAAGTTTTCTTATCTTTAAGCAATAAGCCATTATAGTTTCTTTTTAATATATATACTTCTTTATTTCTATTTTTTCACTCTTTCATTCATACGGATTTCATTGATTAATGCATCATCTTTTGATTCATGTCTTTGACAAATTGACAAGAATACACTTATAATATCAAAGCTTTGTCTTGTTTTGTTTAAGAGTGGATTACTCCTTTCTCATGATAAGACATAAGCATATTAGAAGTTGCAAATTACCCTCTTCTAAATTAATATTGTTCTTAGTATTTTCTTTGTCTTCAAGTCCTTTTTTTTATATGTATTGAATACTATTAGATGTTTTTTTGAATGTTATTATGACAAAGCTTGTTGAAATGAAGAGTGCAATGGCACAAATGTAAGAACAATTGAAGGAATTGATGCTTGCCATGTATCAACTTAGCTTACCACTATAAAGATCAACAAGAATTGCAAGAAGTGAGGATATAGAGATGATTAGAGCTACTTCAATATCTGCACCAAATCATGTCCCTCTATCCACAATGGAACATCCTTCAAGTGTTAAAAAACCAAGAGTTGTTTTGCTAGGGAAGTTTGATGGTACAAGATCCAAATTTCAAGGATTTATCAATCAAGTACAATTTGTGATTGAACTTCAACCTCAAGGCTATCCAACTCTAAGATCAAAAGTTAGATTCATTAATACACTTCTTTCAAATGCAACACTATCGTGGTTTTCATCTTTTTTTGAACAATGAGATCCAATATTAGATAATCTAGAGGTATTTTTGGTAGAATTCTGATCTAACTATAGAAAACATGATGCAACTTGTGTTGCAACCAACAAGATCCATATTTTGCAACAAGATAATCAATCTGTAATGTTATATGCTTTATAGTTTTGACAACTTGTAACTGATATCAAGTGGAATGATGCTGCACTTATTAGCCAATTTTTCTATGGATTATAATATGAAGTAAAGAAATTGATGCTCAACTTATCTGATCCTCAAACATTGAGTGAAACAATTGACTTTGCTATGAAGTGTGACAATCAATTTTTTGAATTTTGATTTGAGAGTGGTATAAGTGGGCCTCAATATTACTACAATTCAATGGCAACACCAACATCTCCTCAATACATACATTCAAAAGTAGAGGATATGTAAATTGATGTGGTACGTTTTAAACTTCTTATCGAGCAAGAAAAGACTCATTGCCGCTAAAAAAGATTGTACTTATATTATGGAGAACCTAAACACATTACTCAAAATTATCCAAAGAAGCGACAAAATTACAAAATGAAGAGCACAACTATAAAAAATGACAATGTGTTAGAAAACGAATTTGTCCAGCTATAATAGGAATCGTGCTGCTGAAATCTTGTATAATTTCTAATGAAGGTCCTATCCTCTTCTCAAAACCCTCTTCTTATTTTATAATAGATGTATATTTAGGACCTAATAATTATAAAGCCTTTGCCTTGATAGATTCAAGAGCCTCAGCTTGTTTTTTAGACGTAGAATTTGTTAAAAATCATAAAATACTATTAGTACAAAAAACTAAATCTGTTCATGTAGAAGTCATAGATGGTCATCTATTGTCTTTTGGAGATATTACTCATGAAAAACTTCCTATAGATATAGAAATAAATAGTCATAGTAGTTGTATAATCTTTAATATAATTAGATCTCTTACTAATTCAGTCATTTTAGGTTTATCATTGTTAAAAAAGTATAATCCTTGCATAGATTGGATTTCTCGTATCCTTGACTTTTTTAAAAGCATAATTAAGAGTAAAATTAATCCAGTAGAAAGATATAAATCTAGCACAATAAAACATGTGTTTGTAGATGCAAAAGCTTTCTTGCATGCTGCAAAAGAATGATCACCTTGTATCATTTATGCCACACTTATTTCAAATGATGCAAAGACTTCAAGTAGCATTCTTAGCTAATATCAAGAATTTCAAGATGTATTTGAGAAAAAGAATGTGGATACTCTTCCAAAACATCATCTCTATGACTACTTAATTGACCTTCAAAAAAGAGCACAATCACTATTTGGACCAATCTATAGTTTATTATAAAATAAATTAGCTGAATTCAAGGAATATATTGAAGAGAATTTGGCCAAGAATTTCATATGCTATTCCAAATCACTAGCAAGAGTTCCAATCTCATTTGTGAAGAAGAAAGATAGATCATTGTAGATGTGTGTTGATTATTAAAGACTCAATAAGATCACCATCAAGAATAAATATCCTCTACCTTTGATATCCGCACTTCTCCATCAATTGAATCAAGTTAAGTTCTACACAAAAATAGATCTATGGAAAGCATACAATCTAATATGTATTAAAGAAAGAGATGAATGGAAGACTGCATTTTGAGTTAGGTATAGGCATTTTGAATACAATGTCATGCTTTTTAGACTTACAAATGGATTGGCAGCTTTTCAACTTCTAATGAATGATGTTTTTGGAAAGTTTTTAGATGATTTTGTTATCTGTTATCTAAACAATATCTTGATCTATTCCAAGAATACAAATGAATGTGAACTTTAAGTTCATTATGTGGTACAAAAATTAAGAGATGTGGGACTCTATGTCAAGAT